ACAAAAGTTATCATATAATAAATATATATTAATTATATGTTAAAAATATTATTATTATATTTTAAAAATAGTTTTATTATTTTGTTAAATCACTTTTAATTTGATGTATATTATATATTTGTAATATAATTACAATATAATTTTAATATTAAAATTATCTTTTTATAATCTAATAATAATTTAATAAAATAATATTTTAATAATATGATAGTGGGAATTGCTAAATCTTACTGCAGATGATCGTCACCGTAGGTGATTTTTACCTCAAATCATATGATTATATATGGTATGTTATACAATTTATATATAAATGTAGTACAACATAAATATACAAATATACATAAACTTTAACATTGATAGTGACATAGTGGCGTAAGTAATTTATAGCTTATTATGACAGATTTGTGATGTAATCATGTATATTAAAATGCAAGTATAAATAAGTAGTTCGATCAAAAAAAAAAATTAGGACTTTTTTCTATATTACTTGGTGTGAAGCTAGAAGCTAATATCGTCATAGATTAACAATAAGAAGTAGTTGGTGAATGTAGTTGAAGCAGTAAAGGTGAGTTTTTATATAGATTTATGTATATGAGCTTTAACGATATCAGCAACTCCACAAGCATTCAACTCAGTAATAAGCACACTTATACTATCGCAGTCACCAAGTAATAAGTGACCAACGATCAACTCTATATAAGCAAACTACCCACATATCTAAGGACTGGAATTTAGTTATTACGAATATTTTAATAAGTAACGCTTTTCATAAAAAAAAATAATAATGAATCAAAATACTTGCAAGCACTCTTTTTTGGAAGTTTATACTTCAGAAGAGGAAGAAGAAAATGATATTAATGATTTACAATATGAATTTGAGAGAACTACCTTATCATATGTGGATGTGAATATGAATATGGACATGGATATTGAGATGAATATATATGTGGATATGGATACGGATATAGATATAAATATGAACATGGATAATGAAAATCAAGCTAATTATAAGATGTTTAGTTTTAAAATAGGTATTTGTTTATATTGTATAATAATTTTATTATATGTAATAATGGCTTTACAAAGTTGAATTTTTTATTAGACAATAAGTTTGATAACTGGGACCTAGCTATAAAACATGTTGAAAATTATGTAATAGAAAATGGTTTTGAAGTTGTAAAACGTCGAACTCAAAAAAACAAGGGTAGTGACATCATATATCGCACTTTAGAATACAAACATTCTGGTGAGCACAAAGCTAAAAAAAAGGCTGACACAGAAGAAAACCGTGAACATGAAAGTGTAAAAATTTGCTGTTTATGGAAAATTAATTTTTATCTTTCTGATGGCATTATACAAGTTACGTCAATGTCTCCAAAGCATAATCATTCATTACCTGAAGTTGTACAAAATATTGGAATAAAGTTCCATCATCTCACGCCTGAAATGTTTGAAGAAATTGAGTTCCTTGTGAAAATTGGCTGTAGTACAGGTCCCATTATCTGTGGACTTCAAAAATGTTTTTCTAATGCTACAATTAGTCTAAAAACTATATATAATACAATCTGCCATTTTAGACACAATAAAGAAATATTAAAGACTGATGCAGCTAAGACATATGAAAAATTGATGCGATTACAATATAAAGAGCATGGGTGGTTTGTTGAAGCAAGATTAGAAAGGAAAGATAATCACCTCACCAGTTTATTTTGGATGAGACCATCCCAAATTGATTTATGGCAAAATTTCACAATATTGTAATTAATGACAATACATCTCATACAAATAAATATCGTATGTTTTTATCACTTACTATTGTTGTAGACAATCATGTATGATCCCGAATAGCTGCAATGGCTGTTGTGTCTGATGAAATGAAAGAAACCTATCAATGGATCTTACAGTGCTTGTTACGTGCTACAGGTGGCCTTGCTCCAGAAGTATTATTTACGAATGCAGATCCTGGTATGATCGCGGCTGTTCATGAGATCCTTCCTTCTACAAAACATAATTATTGTATATGGCATATATGTAAAAACCTTAAAAAAAATCTTAAAGGAAAACTTCGTGAGGAGTATTCAGATTTTATAATAATGTGGAATAAATGCTATAACAGTTTTTTAGAGTATAAATTTAAGAAGCAATAGAGTGATCTACTCAATAAGTATCCAAAAGCAAGAAAGTATCTTGAACATGCCCTTGGTATTGATGTTACTAGTTGGGCTTTATATTATACTCATAGGTCTTTTAATGGTGGAATTCAATCAACACAATGAGTTGAAAGCTACAATTCATTGATTAAACGATCGGTTAAAACTTCAACAACGTTATATAAATTAGATGTACAGATTCAATTGCAGCTTGATAGAGAAGAACAATTTGAATATAATGACCAAATTAACCAAAATCTGACTGTTGGATTACCTAATATTATAGATAGGTACTTTAGTCAAATTAATGTATCTCTCAAGAATTATCTTACTCCACGAGTATTAAAAATGCAGCATTGTCAAATGAATGAATGCTTGTTATACTGTGTTGAAAAAATTATGAATTAAAAATTTTTAATTGGCCATAAGGATCAAATTACTAAAAATCAAGTTCATTATAAACCAATTAAAGTAGCAAATGATATAGAATTTGCTGAGGATAGTTATGAATCTGTTATAACAAACTTGGATTCATTAATTAAATGTATTGAT